GTATATATAATTTATATTTTAATTTCTATATATAATTTATATATTATATATTATTTCATTTCTCTCTATATAATTTATATATATATATATATATATATATATCCTGGTTGGATGCCTCAGCAAGGGTTGACTCTCTGGAGGATCCAGGAAAGAAGTCCACACATAGATGAAAAACTTGCAATGTGATTTATAACTAACAAAACATTCATTTATCTATAGGGAAAGGAAAACCTCTTAATAAATTGTCCTGAACAAATGTTAATCCACCTAGAAAAAATTAAATTTGACACCTTTACAACATTTACAGAGATGAAGCCATAAATATTAAATTTTGTATTTATGAGCCCTGGATACAAAAAGATTTCTTTTTTTTCTTCCTTTTTTTCTTTTAGTTTTCTTTCTCTCTTTCTTTTTTAGTTGCCAGTGAGTGCATGCACTACAGAGAGAGAGAGAGAAAGCACCCACCATGGGGCATGGTCAGGCAACAATTCTTTTTCCTCCATTTCTCAATCTTGACAGAGTTTTGGGCATGAACACACATATCCCCAGCATAGTTTTCAAGCCACCAAGACTGGAACTCGAATCACAGTCAGTTCTGTGGGATCTAGCTTTCTATGCACTGAAAGAATTTCTTAAACAAAACCTATAAAGGGCAAGTTACAAAAGAAAAAGTGGATGAGATTAATAATGTTTCTTTATCAAACATACTGTATGGAAAATGAAAAGACAAGACAGTGGAAGAAGATATCTCCTTCGTTCTTTATTCTGTTCCATTTGTTTACAAGTTTGCTTTTGATGCCAGGACCACACTATTTTGATAACTATAGCTTTATAGTATATTTTAAAGTCAGGTAATATGATGCCTCCAGCATTTTTTCTTTGTGGTCAGTAATGCTTTGGCTATTTGGAGTCTTTTGTTATTCCATACAAATTGAATAATTTTCTATTTCTGTAAAGAATATTATTGGCATTTTGATGTGAGCTGCACTGAATTTGTAGATCACTTTATATAAATATTTTAGCAATAAAACTAAAAATTATTAATTTGACCCACAGTTAGTAGAGTATGTCATTGGACGAGATATTAGACTCCAATGTTTACTGTGGTACTATTCACAATAGTCAAGATATGGAAACACCTAAATGACCTAAGTATCCATCATAAGTCATAAGACAAATGGATACATTTCAAATATATATGAAATTGAATTGTATTGAGGCATTAAAAAGAATGAACAGCAGGGCCAGCAGGAGGTATTGGTGGTCTGGTTCCCAGACCTGGTAGCTTGCTTTCTCACTTTTCCTTTCTCTCTAGTCAAATTAAAGTAATAATTAAAATAATAAATGAAATTAAATCAAAATAATTCTTAAAAAAATGAACAGGAACATGCCCAGGGGACATTATGTTAAGTGTAATAAGCCAGGCACAATAAAAAAGAAAAAATAATCAAGCATTCTCATTCATATTGGGGACATTATAAAAGTAATCCTTATAGGAGTAGAAAATAGAATAGTGATTACTTGAGGCTGGAAAGAGTAGGAGAGAAAAGGAGATAGGGAGATATTTAAAGGATATGAAATTAAAGCTAGGTAAGAGCAACAAGGTCTAGTGTTCTACAGCACAGTAGGGTAACTATAGTTAACAATGATTTACTATATATGTCAAAATAGCTAAAGGAGAGAATTTGGAATGTGACCAACACAACATAATGATAATTAGTCCAATTTGAACATTATGCATTGTGTATAGTGATCACACTATTAAAAATATCACATTAAACCCCCTAAGTATATACCATTATTATGTACCGATTTTTTTTTTTTTTCAAAAACAGCATGGCCCACTTGAAGTCTACTGCCAAATTTCCCTCTAGAAAGCCTGTACAAATTTTATGCAAACACAAGCAGTGTATGAGAATACAGACCAGGGAAATAGAGGGAATAGACTGGGATCCACAGTGGATCTAGGTCACTGATGATGAGAACTTGTACTCACGAGACCTTGGGATCCATTCCAAGTTGCTAGCTCTAACTAAGGCTAGTCTACCTCCAAAGTCTATGTTCTTCCCTGACTTGCAGCAATTTGAAGAAAAGTAAACAAAAGTTGTGAGTATGAATAAACAGATATGCTTTAGATTAAAGTGCCTCCTTCAACTGTAAAATGAAATCACCCAGTGACATTCACATACTTTCACTGCATCCTGTCCAGCACTCTTATGGATTAGGTGTTGGGTTGGTGGCCTTGATTAGAACAGTACAGACAGTTGTGAGTTAAAATGATTACAAAGTATGACTTTGGGGATCAATGGCCTTATCCTTCAATATTGGCAAATACATAGAAGGTACTGAATTTCATTTAGGTAGCTGAATAATCTTCCATTATCTTAGGGGATCAAATAAATCCAGCTGTGTAGGCAAGCAAAGAAAGAAAGGGTATACTTTCAAAAAAGAATACAAAATTATTCCAAGACTTAATAAAGGAAGGAATGCAATAAAGTAGCTTAAATGAAAATTTGCCATGCTTTAAATAATAGATTTAAGACTGTAATATTTATTGCTTAATTATATTTTCTTCATGATGTTTGCTAAAAATAACCTTAGGCATTCCTTAAGCATAAAACTTCAAAATATCTACATTTATTCCCCAAGAGGAAAACCACTGAGCTAATCTCACTACTGTTGGATTTATGATTATCTTTAAGTGCACAAAAAACTAATATGAGTGAATAAAATTAAAGATGTAAAACAAGTTTATTTATTAGAATCTTACTTTCTGCACATTTACTGAATCTACGACAAAAAACTAAATATTTTTTGTGCACTTCCATCGCTGAACTGTTTTTCATACACTTGCTAATAACTTGTATTTAGCTACTATTGCATCTTGCATATAGCAGAAACATTTTAAGTGTTTTTTTTTTCTTTTTTCTTTTTTCAATGCCATAGAGTTCACAGAGAGAAAAAGAGATTGGGGGGGGGGGAACCCATTCCTCCAAGGTGACCTGGTCCCATTGTGATCCTTTTTCTTCCATTTCTCCATCCCATTAGGATGCTGGGTAGGCACACGTGTGTATGGGGGTGAGATTTGAACCATAGTCAGCTCTGTGGGATCCAGCTTCCTTTGCATAGTGTTTAATGAAGCCAGCTCCTGAATGCGCTGCCCTGGAGTTTTAGCAGAAGTTTTAAACGTCAAGAGCGAGAGCTTTATAGTCCCACGTCCTAAGGCTTGAATCCTCATGCATAATGTAAGAGATTCTAAAACTACTTCTGCCAGAGTTG